AACCAGTCAACATTTTTGAACAGTAAGATTTTTCATGTTTTTTTTAAAGAAGTCTCTTCTGCTCACCAAGCCTGCATTTATTTGATCCAAAATACAGCAAAAACAGTAAAATTTTGAAATATTTTTACTATTTAAAATAACTGCTATCTATTTGAATATATTTTAAAATGTAATTTATTCCTGTGATGAAAGCTGAATTTTCGGCATCATTACTCCAGTCTTCAGTGTCACATGATCCAGAAATCATTCTAATATGCCGATTTGCTGATTATCAATATTTAAAACAGTTGAGTAAATTTTTTTCTGGATTCTTTGATGAATAGAAAGATCCAAAGATCAGCATTTCTCTGAAATAAAAAGCTTTTGTAACATTATACATTATTTCATTCAAAAGCTTGGAGTCAGCATGATTTTTTTTTTTTTTAATTATGGAAATTAATACTTTGATCAAATACTTTGATTAAATTGATCAAAAGTGATGATAAAGACATTTGTAATGTTACAAAAGATTTCTCTTTCAGATAAATGCTGTTCTTCTGAACTTTCTGTTCATCAAAGAAACCTGAAAAAAATTCTACTCCGCTGATTTCAACATAATAATAAATGATTTTTGAGCAGCAAATCAGAATATTAGAATGATTTCTGAAGGATCATCTGACTGGAGTAATGATGCTAAAATATAGCTTTGAAATCACAGGAATAAATTACATTTTAAAATATTTTCAAATAGAAAAAATAAAAATAAAAATATTTCAAAATGTTACTGTTTTTGCTGTATTTTGGACCAAATAAATGCACGCTTGGTGAGCAGAAGAGCATCCTTAAAAAACATGAAAAATCTTACTGTTCAAAAACTTTTGACTGGTAGTGTATGTTAGCCTATAGTTAAACATATTAATATTAATTAGGTGAGTGTGAGACAATTATTTGACAGTGATTTCACATTTCTTGTTTGTATGAAGGCTAAATACAAATAAAAGGTGAACATTAATTTATTTGTGCTGTTTTTTTTCTAAAATATTATATGGTTTTATATGAGGTGTCATAGACTTGGCATATTCATTTTTCATAAGTTTGTTTGCACAGACATCTATTTTGGGCGTTCTTGGCAGTTTTTACGAGGCTTTTTTTAATAGTGTTCATATCGATATCGGAATTATATCGTATCAACCGAAATTAAGAAATATATTGTGATATAAATTTTGTCCAGCCCTAACTCTGCCTCAGAAGTCTGTCCGAAATCAGTTTCGTGAGGTGCCTCCGTGCGTAAACGCTGCCTGCAAGTCATTGCCTGATAGAGCAGTGAGGCAACAAGTCAGCTGCCTAAGTTTTCGGATGCAGCCTAAACACAACAATGAACTTGACATTGGCAGGCGGCAGCCTATGACGCCACGACAGGTGCGCCCAAGAGCATAACAGGGCACCTGTAAAATACATTACAACCCCAATTCCAGAAAAGTTGGGACATTCTGTGAAATGCCATAAAATCAAGAATATGTTAATTGTTTATTCTCTTTAACCTTTATTTAATTGATTAAATTACAAATAAAAAATTCCCAATGTTTTCACTGGCCAACTTAATTGCATTTTGTAAATATAAACAAATTTAGATTTTGATGGCTACAACACACTCCAAAAAAGTTGGGACAGAGGCATGTTTACCACTGTGCAGGCCTGGACTGGCCATCGGGAGCACCGGGAGAATCCCCCCCATTCAGAATTTTTTTAAAAATTATTATTAATAATTTATATTTATGCCTTCTATATAAAAACATAACATATTTTTCTTAAATATATGCATGCATGTGTTTGTATTTATATATACATAATAAATATACACTGTACACACTCATATATTATGTAAACAAAAACTTTTATTTTGGATGCGATTAATCGCTATTAATCATTTGACAGCACTAGTTTTAATACACAGTCAAAAGGTTTTGATCAGTAAGATTTGTATGTTTTTTAAAGAAGTCTCTTCTGCTCACCAAGCCTGCATTTATTTGATCCAAAATACAGCAAAAACAGTAATATTGTGATATATTTTTATATTTAAAATAACTAATTTCTTTTTGAATATATTTTCAAATTTAATTTATTCCTGTGATTTCAAAGCGGAATTTTAAGCATCATTACTCCAGTCACATGACCCTTCAGAAATCATTCTAATAAGCTGATTTGCTGCTCAAAAAACATTTATTATTATTATGCTGAAAACATCTTTGATGAATAGAAAGTTCAGAAGAACAGAATTTATCTGAAATAGAAGACTTTTGTTACATTATAAATGTCTTTATCATCACTTTTGATCAATTTAAAGCATCCTTGCTAAATAAAAGTAATCATTTCTATAGTTCCCCTATGATGATATCCTATTTCTATGATATCCTATGCGTGGGGCAGTCTGCAAGTTGTAGGCGGTCTATGAGCCTCCTTATAGGATGCCCTAAGCTTGACCATTTACTGCGAGCATTGTCAGGCCTCCTCTCGCAAAGAGAGTTATTTTCTTTGAGGCCTCTGCTCACCATAGCTCTGAATGAGTTGAATGCTCTCTGTGAGCCTCCTTACAAGATGTCCTGAGCATGGGGTATAGTTAGGCCTCCTCTCGTTTTAGAGAGTCGTTATGCTAGGCCTCTGCTCCTAGAGCTCGGAAAACATCTACTGCGAGCATCCTCAGGCCTCCTCTGGCTATAGAGAGATATTTAATTGAGAACTACTTTCGCCAGACAGCCTCTTTGAGTTGTAGGTTCTCTGTGAGCGTCCTTACAAGATGTCCTGGGCGTGGGGTGTAGTTAGGCCTCCTCTGATTTAGAGAGTCGTCATGTTGGGGCCTCCACTCCTTGAACTCGGCCATCTACTGCGAGTGTCATCAGGCCTCCTCTCGCTATAGAGAGTTATCTCATTGAGGCTTCCGCTCACCAGAGCTCTGCTAGGACAGCATCTGTGAGTTGTAGGCTCTCTGTGAGCCTCCTTACAAGATGTCCTGTGTGGGGTGTATTTAGGCTTCCTCTTATTCTAGAGTCATCGTGCTGAGGCCTCTGCTCCTAGAGCTTGGCCATCTACTGCGAGTGTCGTCAGGCACTACAGAGAGTTAACTTCATTGAAGTATCCACTCACCAGAGCTCTGCTAGGACATACTTTTGCAGGTTGAAGGCTCTCTGTGAGCCTCCTTACAAGATGTCCTGGGCGTGGGGTGTAGTTAGGCCTCCTCTCATTTAGAGAGTCGTCATGTTGGGGCCTCCACTTCTAGAGCTCGGCCATCTACTGCGAGTATCATCAGGCCTCCTCTTGCTATAGAGAGTTATCTCATTGAGGCTTCCGCTCACTAGAGCTCTGCTAGGACAGCATCTGTGAGTGGTAGGCTCTCTGTGAGCCTCCATACAAGATGTCCTGTGCGTGGGGTGCAGTTAGGCCTCCTCTTATTTTAGAGAGTCATCATGCTGAGGCCTCTTCTCCTAGAGCTTGGCCATCTACTGCGAGTGTCATCAGGCACTACAGAGAGTTAACTTCAGTGAGGTATCCACTCGCCAGAGCTCTGCTAGGACATACTTTTGCAGGTTGTAGGCTCTCTGTGAGCCTCCTTTCAAGGTATCCTATGTGTGGGGTGTAGTAGGCCTCCTCTCGTTTTAGAGAGTCGTCATGTTGAGGCTTCCGCTCCTAGAGCTCGGATAGGTATTGGCTAGGTAGAATGAAGTGTTGCTAGGCCGCCTCTCATTTGAGAGGTGTTGTATTTAGGCCTCCACTCTGCAGAGCTTCATGGGCCAGCTGGCTTCGAGTGCTAGGCTCTCTGTGAGCTTTCTTGGATGCTGGCCTCAATGAGAGCATAGTTAGGCTTACTTTCTCCTGTGAAGGCCTCCATTCTTGAGAAGCTTTGGTCTATGGCTTTGCTGGAACAGGGGTGAGGACTCCTCAAGTCTTTGACTTGGTTCAGCCATTTAGGCACTCATTCCTTCAGCATGGCTGCGTGGGTATTCCGTTCCCCAAAAGTGGTGGTAAAGTGATGCAGCGTAAAGTTCCCATTCAAAAGGGAATGTCTCAGGTTACGCATGTAACCATGGTTCCCTGAGAAGGGGAATGAGACGCTGCGTCCCTTTGCCATGCTTCAGGAATTCCTGCATGTCTCCTTCAGACAAGAAATAGATGACACATTTTACAGGTTCCCTTTTATACTCATGCTTCAAACATGCTGAAGACATTCCCCAAAAACGCCCTCTCAGTGACGCAGCGTTTGGTTCCCCTTCTCAGGGAACCATTGTTACATGCGTAACCAGAGACATTTTTCATGATGTAAGCATGACATTTTCAGCCAAATCTGGCCCAGCTGCTCAAAATATAAATTCATTATTCTAGACTTACACAGTTTTGAACACATATTTTTTAATGATTTACCTTAAAAGGAGAATCAACAGAACATTATTTTTGTTTGAAGTACCTTTCTTAAAGAAGTAGACATTCTGCACAGGTGTGGCCTTTTCTTGGACAATCTCCACATCTATGTAGTCATCCGGGTCATAGCTCATGTCAAACCAAAATGGACGTCTTCCACTGCCCTTTTTCTGGTTTGTACCACGCTTCTCTGCTCCATAATACCTATATAACACATATTTATCCATACAGTATAATCTATACATCTACTACACATATACAAGGTATACATGTATGCAAATGTCCTCTCAACAAACCTCAGTAATTAACAAACCTTTCCTCATAATCCAATCCAAAGTCTTCCCAGAACAGCGAGCGGCTCACTCTGGCTCCTCGACCCCTGGTCTTCTTTCTCGGTCCGGTTCGGCCCCAGCTCAGGCTGGTGGCTGGAGACGGTGAGGGACCAGGGCTAACGTACAGCCGGCCAACCACTGCTGCATCTATGGGAGGTTTGATGCCAATCCAGTCTTTGGAAATGAAACGTGGCCCTTTGTGATGCCCGTGAACTGAATGGACAGGGAATAATTCAGCAAACCGGACATTTATTGAAACCTCTGCTTAAACAACATATGCACACAGACTTACTGCCTTGAAAGAGCAGAGCAAACACATTATCCAAGTCACAGTACAGGTTTGTATAACGTGTGAAGGCAACAGAGGGTGAGGATTTGGTCATGCGGTCACATTCTTCATGGGAAGGCTGGTGTTTGTACACATACTGGTAGTACTGGTCCCCTGTGGGAACAAAGGAAACATTAAATATTGAATAAATCTATTTCATAAGGTGCATAACCGTATTTTCAACCTATGGAGTGCTGCAGATGTATTTTTTAGTCCAACCCAAAAGTTAGTATCACCCCAATTCCCTCAAAAAGCTCTGTAACCAACAAGTTTAAGGCAATCTCTGTACTCCTATTTAGCCACTTGTTAGTAAAATGGGGGTATTACTGATTTTACGGTCTTGAATAAAACTTGAAAGTATCTCTGTGGTTGTGTTAACCACAAACCTTATTTCAGGCATTTAACCCATTCAAAATGTTTACTGACTTCAGGACAATTGAACCGGAAGTGCTAAAATGCTAACTTGTTTCTGGTTTTGGCCTATAAAAATACATCATCTTTGCAGCAATCTATTTTGACCTCTATTACCTTTAAAAAAATACACCTTTTCCCTTCCATGATGGCCTGGAGTGAAGGCAACAGATTGCAGATTGAAATAAATATTGTTTAAAAAAAGAAGAATATTTTTTTTATCTAGGTTAAAAAGCATGTGTTATGTAAAATGCAAGTGTTAGGAAAAAACCTATATAGCTGAATATTTTTAACAAAAGTTTACATGTCATGACGTGTGGACATGTGGTGTAACCATAACATATTTCTCTTACAGTTGAAACACATGCGTAAACACCTAATTATGTTCAGAAATATTTTTTAAAACATTTTGTTCAAGGTTAAAAGTAATTTGACAAATATCATGTATTATTAACTCACCATTATTAAGTGTTTGTAAAGTCGCACCATGTCATTTTACAACCTGAACTAACCTCAACTTGTCATAAAAATGTCAAATTATCTGATATTTTTATAAAATTGTTGACCTTGAAGCACAGTTATAAGAGTATGCAGGTGTCCTGTCTGTGGCATCATTTCCTGCTTTGTTTTTTCGGTTACACTTTACTTGAAGGGGTGTGCATAAGACTGACATGACACCTTCATAATCATGACATGACACCTACATAATCATGTCATGACACATGTCATGAATATGAAGGGGTTTTTATGCATGTTTATGACAACTGTCATTAAATGTCATTCGCTCAGTTATGTAATTTTTAATGCAAAGATGACATTGTTTGAGATGTCTTTGTTATGGGCTATGGTTAGGGGTAAGGGTAGGGGTAGGGTTAGGTCAAATAATGTCATATTTGCATTACAAATGACATAACTGAGCAAATGACACTTAATGACAGTTGTCATAAACATGCATAAAACCTCCTTCATATTCATGACATGTGTCGTGTCATGATTATGAAGGTGTCATGTCAGTCTTATGCACACCCCTTCAAGTAAAGTGTTACCTTTTTTTCCCCTGTATGTTGGTTGCATAAGTGACTTTATACCCCCCAAAATATCTAAATGAACTTTAATGATAGACACACTCATCATACATGAGGTGTATTCAAGTCATGAACATGTAAATGTATTTAAATTTTTTTTATTAATAGATCTGGATTTCAAAATGAGTGTTAAGTCAATCAACCCTTTAAGAGAAAGTTCACTCAAAAATGAAAATTATATCATTAATTATTCACCCTCATGTCGTTCCAAACCCGTAAGACCTTCGGCTATCTTCAGAAAACAAATTAAGATATTTTTGATGAAATCCGAGAGCTCTCTGTCCCTGCATAGACAGCAATGGAACTGACATGTTCAAGGCCCAGAAAGGTAGTAAGGACCTCGATAAAACAGTCCATGTGACATCAGTGGTTCAACCTTAATTTTATGAAGCTATGAGAATAATTTTTGTGCGCAAAGAAAACAAAAATAATGACAATTTCTTTTCTTCAGTGTCAGAATTTGGCGTATGTGTGTGCATTCCTCTGATTGGAAACAAGTGGCAGCGCATCCGTGCACCATGCGTGGTACTGTCGTGAACACACTTCAAAGACTGACAGGGAAGAGAAGAAATTGTTGAATAAAGTCATTATTTTTGTTTTGTGTTTTTGTAGCTTTATAAAACTATGGTTGAACCACTAATTTCACATGAACTATTTTAACGATTACTATCTTTTTGGGCCTTGAATGTGGTAGTTGCGTTGCTGTCTATGCAGGGTCAGAAAGCTCTCGGATTTCATCAAAAATATCCTAATTTGTGTTCCAAAGATGAACGAAGGTCTTACAAGTTTGGAACAACATGAGGGTTAGTAATTAATGACAGAATTTTCATTTTTGGGTGAACTATCCCTTAAATATTTAACCTGACGTAAACAAACCTTGAATATATATGTTTTTCCCTGGCAGTTGATGCGTGTGAAAGCAGCATCAATGGGACCGGAGATGCCCCACACATCCTTGATGAGTTTGGGATACCCAGGCATGACAGATTTGTCATCTAACTCAAAGAAATAGTCCCCTAGAACACAAATGAAGAAGACATTGTGTAGCCAGCCTGAACTTGAACTGAGAAAAAGGCATAGTAATTCTATTCAGCCTCAAACCTCACCTCTGAAAGCATAGATTGAACCATTTTTCAGCTGCATGAAGGCATCAAAGGTGCGGCCGCTACAGGTGACAGCTTCTGGATCAGGTGGAACTGTAGGAGACATAGGAGGGGAACTTGTGGTGGTTCGGAGCGGAGCGGTGGTGGCTGTCACATTTGATTCTTCTGCCGGTGACACCGAAGAGGTCAGATCATCCTCAGGCACATCAAACATGTCACCACGGGCAACTGAGGAAGAAATTAAAACATTCAAATCGTACAGCATTTTCACAATGTCTGGTTCTTTTTCCATTAATAAGACATTAAAAGGAAATGAAAATTTGCTGAAACTCACCGTTTGCTTACTCACCCTCAGGCTATTCAAGATGTAGATGAGTTTGTTCACCAGAGCAGATTTGGAGAAATTTAACATTACATCATTTGCTCACCAATGAATGCTCTGCAGTGAATGGGTGCCGTCAGAATGAGAATCCAAACAACTGATAAAAACATCACAATTATCCACACCACTCCAGTCCATCATTAATGCCTTGTGAAGTGAAAAGCGGTAGGTAAACTAATCTTTAAGGCATTTTAACTTTGGCCAAAATGCATAATAAAAGCACTTCCTCCAGAGAAAAAGTCCATCCCCTGTTGTCCTCTCACATCAAAATTCACTGGCATATTTGTTTGGAATTCTGTTTGTTTAGAATGGTTTTGGCTTATAAACAGTGCCTGATCTGTGTATATTTCTCTCCTGATTCAGACGAGACATATTTTTCCCTAGAGAAAGCAATATAATGGATAGAGTACTCAAAGTTTAGCTGGAAGCAACGGTTTGAAGTTAAAATCATCGTAATGATGAATTTGTTTATTACAGACATGCAACTTTTTACTTTACAAGATGTTAATTGATGGACTGGAGTTATGTGGGAGTTATGGAGTTAAAACTGTGAATTACTTGTGGATTATTGGGATGTTTTTATCAGCTGTTTGGACTCTCCTTCTGACGGCACGCATTCACTGAAGAGGATCCTCTGGTCAAGTGATGCGATGCTAAATTTCTCCAAATTTGTTCTGATGAAGAAACAATCTCATTTACATCCTGGGTGGCCTGAGGGTGAGTAAAGTTTCAGCGAATTTTCATTTTTGGGTGAACTATTCCTTTAAAAGTGAAACGTGTACTTTTTGTCACCAAACTGAATTTCAGACAATTTGCCTGTCCTATGGGTTGATTTGAATGAAAAGTAAGTTCACTTATTTTTGTTACTTAAAACATTTGTATAGATATTATTGTTTTACCCTTGTCACTGATATTTTAGTGTACCACAGTTGTCATTTTCCACACAACAAACAATTTTGCAAGTAATAAAGTTTTATCAAAGGTTAGTGTACTTGTTTGCCAAGAGGGTAATTAGTGTCACTGAAGTGCAAGCATTAGATAAGAAACATGTGATGTATGAACAATACAAAGCAAAATCAAGGTAAATAATACCTGTGAACAGGATATTTTTATTATGAATCTTTTCCAGTCAAGTTGTGAATTTGGAAAAAACAATCCTTTACATGAAGAAATGTAGGTGGAACTTCAAGACTCTACAGGCCAATATTTTTAATCAGAGATGGTTTAGGTCGCTGGATTAATCAGGGGAAAAAAAAGCTTTTTTGTGCTGATGTCATTTTTTTTCAGTGTGTTTTATTTAATTTTTGTCTTTGTTTTCTTTACTCGGGCATTATGTATGTGCATATCTTTAATTGTGTTTTAAAAGTTAATTTCACAGTGAAGTAAAGTCAGGGTAAAGTCCACAGGGCCTAAAGTGCCCAAAGTTGATGCAAAACCTAATTGTAAACAGGTTTCCCAAACCCTCCCCTTGACTGCCATTGGTCAGACAAAACAGAAAGCCCCTCCCCAAACTTACACCATTGGATGAGCTAGTGTTGCGATGTAGGACTGTTCCAGCTGCTCAAACAAACACAGCAATGTTTTGAGAGCACCACAGTGTTTACACTTGGAAATCATCCCATACCAGTTGTCTCTGTTTAATAAGCTAGGATATTAGAAAGTACTATAGTAAAATATTAATAAATACATACATACATACATACATACATACATACATACATACATACATACATACATACATAATAAACACTTTAGCTAATAGAACATTTAGCATATTCCAATTCAAATATACACTGCCATTCAAATGTTTGGTGTCAGCAGGTTTTGTTTTTTTAATGACACATTAAATTGATCTAAAGTGATAGTATAGGCTTGTACGATCATGTTACAGTTTATTTCAAATAAATGAAGTTATTTTGAACTTTCTATTCATCAAAAATCTTGAGAAGTGTCACGGTTTCCACAAAAATATTAGGAGAGCAACTATTTTCAGAATTGATCATAATAAGAAATGTTTCTTGAGTATCAAATCAGCACACAGTAAAATTCCGTAAAATTTACGGTAAAAAAACGGCAGCTATGGTTGCCGGAATTTTACCGTAAAAAATACGGTAGCAACGTTTTAGATTGTACGGTTTTAACTTAAATTTACAGTTAAAGGGGTCATATGATGCGATTTCAAGTTTTCCTTTCTCTTTGGAGTGTTACAAGCTGATTGTGCATAGATAAGATCCCTGAAGTTGCAAAGACTAAAGTCTCAAAACCAAAGAGATAATCTTTATCAAAGTTAAGACTCTGCCACGCCCCCCTAAAACGGCTCGTTCTAACACGCCCCCACATATCTACCTCACTATCTGGAAATATTAGCATAATGCCGCCCAAATGTGCATGCAAAAAAAGAAGGCGTGGTTTCAATGCATGCATTTTATGGACGATCGTTTCGTGAACCTAGGAGAGGAGGTCATTCTGACTTTGCTATGACAATCTGGCGCTTCTGAATCAGCTACTGTTTTGTTATTAGTTTAAGTATTTGCTATTGACTGTTCAAATGCGGAGTTTTGCACATCGTGTGTGTGTGTGCGCGCGCGCGAGCGAGCGAGAGAGCGAGAGAGAGAGAGAAGAGAGAGATTTGTTTGAAAATCTCCTGTCAATTTACTTTTAAGCAAGACAACAAATTTTGAGATTTTGGGCTATTTTGCTTTCATAGCATGTCTTCTCTTAGACTAGTGGAAAGAAAACATTTTTAAAAACAGATTTAAGTGATTATTTTATTAAACATTACATTTGTGCCTGTAGATTATAGTTCAAATACATATCTGTAAAGGCCACTTTGTCAAAATTATAATTTTTTTCTCAAGCACTGAGCCAGAAATCTCCACTTCAGTAATACTAACACACACCAGTTTTATTCCTATCAACTGTAGGCCTATATTGTTATGCATATATGCAATACGCTTTTCACATATCATTCTCCTGACTTATCTAACATTTAATTTCTAAAAATATGGTGTTTTTTTCTGGCTGTTCAGTATAGTAAAACAGTATTTTCTGATTTTGTATTAAAAACGTACTCTGCAAAAAGCTCAGAAATTCAAAACAACCCAATAGCTGGGTCAAAACAACCCAACTGCTGGGTCAAAACAACCCAATAGCTGGGTTTGTCCCTTTTTAACCCAGCGCTGGGTTATATTTAGAGTGCGATGACATACTTTCTTAAATCTATTTGCGAACTATTTAAACGGAAAAATAATGGATCAGGAGAAACAGAAATGGCTGGGAGAAAACAATTTCATGCATCTTGGGACTAAAGATGATTATGCAGAAATTCTATTGTAAATATTTTAGTTTGCTACTATTTCATCAAAAGAAAGAGCAGACAAAATATATATAAATCTGAATTTTTTTTCTTTTTAAATGTTGTATTTACAGTATGTGTTGCACTTTTTGTAGACCAGATTCTAGAAAAGACAGACTGGCAGATAGGCCTATAAATAAACTAGGATAAGATCAACATTATTCCTATTATGTCCTATTGTCCTATTATCCCTTTCCTTATTATTATTTGATTTTAGTGGCTATAAACTGAAATGTTACCTTGTCTATAGTAATGTGACTTTAAGTGTATCTTAAAGTAGCTTAAAACAACAAAATTGTTATTCCGATTTAAGTTGTTAGATATTTCAGTAAATAATTACTAATTTGTCCTGGAGTAAACTGGAATCTCAGATAACTCGTATCACTCTTGTTCCTTGATCTTTCCTTTTAGGCCATAACTTGATGTCCTGCCAGACATTGTTATTCAGAAATAGCACAAATTGCGTTGTGTAAATTGGATGATAATGTAAAATGAAAGGACTTTGTCCTTTACTGATGTCAAAATCCATAAGTGGATCATTTAAAAGAGATAAAAGTCCAAATTCAGGAACAAAGAAGTTCCTCATTTAAAGTATTATCTTGATTTAATCCATACAGCCACTGCCAAATTAAAGTCCAATTGAGTAATTGATATGTCATGTAATATTGGTAATAAGAATACCTTGGGAGAGCCCTGACCTTTGTTTGATGAGAACACACTGTGACAGACCAGCTGTCTTTGATATGAATTACTACCCAGAGCGTGTAGAAATATTAAATTCCTCAACAAAAAAAAAAATACAACTGGTTAGTTTTTAGGTTAGGGAGGTGCATGCACTAGAAACAATAGTTCATGACCTTGAGATTATTTCCCAATCGACTGTGTCTGTTAGACAGCCATAAAGATGACTACAGAGTCCTGCCGCAGCAAAGCTCAATGTACTAAAGAAGATAATCTATAATCATGCAGAACAACTCCATAAAGCTACTGTTATTAGGGCCTTGTAAAATGAGAGCAGTATATATTCTCAGCGCCTAGACAAGGATACCTATAGACAACGAAGAAGAAACTGACAGTAACATTTGCATGAATTACATATAATATCATACTTGAGCTTTGAAACTATTATTAAATATTTAGGAAAAGTTAAGGGTTTCATTGAAAGCTGTCCTTATGTACATAAACTCCAAAGGTTGTGTAAGTGAGATTATGTAACACGCAAGGGGCTTTATCTCTAAGGAGCAGACTCTATAGATGGTAAAAGAAGAACAAAGCTTTGGAGAAATATATATGTTGGACCTTTAGCACATATTTACAGCCATAATATATGAACGAGACTTTTCATAGTACTGGTCAATGGGCTTCAAAGATGAACAACTGGTAGTACTTGATTTAATTTCCAAAGTATGTCCTTAATAATTACAAGCAGAGAGTTCAAAGTCTGTAAAGGTTACTAATTAATGTTGATAAAGCTGTAAGGTCACAGTTTGTACCGAACCGAAGATTATCAGGTGTATCACATGCTTGGCTGATCTGTTCCTCACTAATCTGAATTTATTACAGT